GAGTCAGATCTAACATAGAGGAATTATAAATTATTTTACAGAAAATAAAAAAAAAAACATTTTCAACATACGACTGTCGAACATTTGTTGATTGTTTTGAATCACGAAAATTTTTATCAGTTAATTCAAGATTATATTCTAACTGAAATTCAATAAATAAAAATATTTTCTTTTTATTCTTAAAATAAAAAAAGAGATTTTATTTACTCCACAAGATCCAGCTAAAATATATGGATCATCTGGATAATTATATCCTTCACATGATACACTTAATTTTCCAAACTTATATTTTTGTGGCATTTCACTTGTACATTCCCACTAAAAAGAACAGAAAATCGAACTAGATTTTATTATTGAAAGTGATCCTATCGAATAAGATAACCGCTCTCCATTTGAAAAGGCATTTATATCTTTTTGTAGAGCAAGTCGTACCGCATCGAATGATATATTGATTTTGTTTATCAAATTTTTTATATTCTAAGAACCAAATTGTGGGTAGATATGACCAAATATTAGGATTCGTTACGTCTTCAAATCAACCTATATCAAATTTTGTTTAAAATGCCTTCAATCGAGTTTTGTTTCATCTTCAATCGTGTGCGCCTAATAATACTGACAATAACTTTCTTGACATCTAAAACCTGAGCACTTTTCTTAGTTTCTGTAATTATTAGTTTTAAATTGTTCGATACTGTTCCTAAGGACAAAGGTAAATAATCGTGTAACTTTCTTAGAAATTGTGTACCATCACCAAACTCTCTAAGTATACCAATTGCTTGTCCGCTGAATTGTTGTGTGTTATAGACATATATGACTGTTTTAAAAATAGCAAAAAAAAAAAATTTTCATTTTCGCATATACGATGATATACAAAATTTTTAATTCTCATAAGACACCGAACATGTATTGAATCTAATAGAACTCCATACTGTAATCATATTGGACTACTCAGGATCTAAATTCGTAAGAAACAAAACAAAATAAAAACTAATCTTTGTAATAGATCATTTCCGTACCCTCATCCAATGGTTTGAAAGCGAAAAAGTTTTTTGCCATTTTCAAAATATTCATATGTGCCAAAAAATAGAGCATGAACTTATTATTATTAATAGACAAAAAACTTTTTCACTCGAAAAGTATTTATCGCAAAACTCATAAACTTTTCTGCCTTTAAGAATTAAAAAGTTAGCCAATTCCACTATGACGCACAATACAATTCAGAGAAAGTTACACGATTGGTCATCTTTATCTTCAGGAAGAGTATCGAACATTTTAAAACATTAAAAAAACCTAACAATTATAGAAGCTAAGATTTTAGGTACCAAGAAATATACGCGATTAAAGATGAGATAAAACTCTATTGAAGTAACTTTTAACAAAATTTGATATAGATTGGTTTGTAGACATACAAAGTTCTAATATTTGATCATATTACCTAAAATTGCTATTATATATAGTTTCTTAAAACATTAAAAAAACTTAATGAAAAATCAATATACCATTCGATGGTGATCTTATCTGACAGGATCTTTTTATAATCTTACTTGAATGTCGATACCATTTGATCCACGATTATAACATTGTACAACATCAGGTTCAAAAGCACATTTTGCTGAACCACCAACACATTTTAATTGTGGAACGGATGAAACTCGTCTTGCTTCAGTTCGTTGTCCTTTATGAAGCGTTAATGTTTTCACTTCTTCAAGTAAAACACTTCGATGTTGACCACCAGCTAAAAAAAAAACAAATTATTTTTAAAGGTATTCGTTTTATTTCATTTACCATGAACAAGAGATAATGATAAATGCCAAATAATGGCTATCAGAAGTAAAGGTCTCATAGTACAAACGTTTGTTTTTTCTTCAAATGATTGACTGGTAAAAAAAAAGTCAACCTCATGAGTAAGACTACGTCATCGTTACTTGGACAAATCAAAATTTATCATTAAACCTCTAAAACGAATTTAGAATTGTTAATGATTGGTGAAAAAAGACCAATATATTTTTTTTCTTCGATCGACAATCTCTCATTCCTTTTTTTTTCTTTTCTAATTGTTTTTGAAAGATGTCCAATTCAAAAGAAGGTAAATTTACATAATGAAAATTGATTTGTAAAGTTTTTTTTCCTTTTGTTAATACAAAAGCAAACAAAAAAAGATAAATTTTAGGTTGGTTAAAAATTAAAAAACAAGATCAAAGTAAATGGCATCGTCGATTTTGTATTATTGATTGGGATAAATCTGTTTTATTTATTGCATCAAAATCTGATACACGTTATAGAGATTGGATTAAACTTTTACCAAATATAATTATTAATGATTTGGAATATTCATTTACTAATGAATCAAATAATAATAATAATAATCATAATTTATTCAATAATACAATTGAAATTTTAGCTAATAGTATGAAAGAAAAGTTTTTTTTTTTTTGATAAATTGAATTGTAGATTTTCTTTTTGTATTTTTGAGATGGTACATC